CCATGGTGCATATGGACGAGAAGCGGTTCGACGCTGACGTCGACGAGCGACCGTATTTGCTCCTTCCCGTTGAAGAGCCACCCGCAAAACACCGCAAAGCAAGCAGTTCGTGCCCAAGACAATGTTCTTGGCAGCTGTCGCACGCCCCTGGTATGACCTCTCTTTTCTTATAAATTACTGAACCAACTGACATGATATTAAATGGGTATTTTTCTTGTAGGTACGACTTTCATAGGAAGACAATGTTCGACGGCAAGATTGGCATCTGGCCGCTGGTGGAGCAGTACACTGCGCAACGCAGCCGCATTAATCGACCTGCGGGTACGATACTAACGAAAAACATCGAGTCAATTGATCGAACAGTGATAAAGCGGTTCCTATTGGACGAATTAATCCCTGCAATCAAGAGGAAGTGGCCTGTGCGTGACCGCCACTTGCCGATCCTCATACAGCAAGACAACGCGAGGCCCCACTAATTGTCCCAATCATTTTTGAATGGAGGAAGTATTATCTACAACTGCAGTACTTTACTACAGCATGCCCGTCACTCAGTAAGTACTTCTCAAGTTCTGTGTACCTGTTACGCTGGTGTGCAGCCAGACAGCAAGGTATTTGAGCTTACTTAGCCTGACAAAATGGTGTGTGACCAGTTATAAGACCACCAGGAGACAATCCAAGCAACACTGGGACTAACTAACATGAAGGGGCTATGTGTATGTAGATGATAGACGAATGACATGCGCTCAATACTGTTGCGGACCAAGACAAGCTCGAGGTGGATCGTCTTATTTTTATCTTTTTTCTAACTTTATCCGGTATGACGATTGAGGCAACCTCACTATGCGTTGTTGATTTATCCAGGTCTAGAAGTGCGATGTTCTGATGTACTGTGCTATACTCAACGGTATTGGAATCATAAGGCGAGGATGCCAAAATGCAGCGACAAAGTGATGCTTCATCGTGACTTGTACTTCTCTTCTGGCTTTGTCGAACCTACAGCGATGCAGCCAAACATCATACCGCTCCCCCAGCAGCTCAGCGTTCGATTCACAGTAAAGAATGGAGACCCGCTTACCGCTTGCGGAGATAAGCTACCGCCTATTGATTTTCTTTTTCAAGTATCGGCTGGGAATCACGGGTTGCGTGGGACGATAGAGGAGATGTTCAATCGTCAGCTTCCTAATGTATGGCGCGATGAGTTCCAA